TGGCCTCCCCCCTCTGCTCCACAAGATTGTGGAGCACACAGCATGCAGCCACTACCTCCGGGACATTCCACTCACCCATCTCCAGCCGGATGAGCAAACAACGGAACCTGGCTTTCAAGCAGCCTAAGGAGGTGTTGAGAGGGGGAAGGGATAGAGCAACAAGGCCGAGGCCTCTGTTGGGGAGGCTGTGGGGAGAATTACTGGGGTGCTTGAGAGAACCTCTCCCTCATGGCCTCCCGGCTGCACACCCTCAAATGATGGGCCTGGCGGGTGGCAGCTGTCTGGGGCTCCTCAAAGCTCCGGCCCTTGTGGGAGGCCTCTGCCACCATGCTGGGAGGAAGGTCTCCCCCTTGCGCTCCACCAAGTTGTGGAGCACACATCAGGCCGCCACCACCTCAGGGATATTCTGCTCCCCAACGTCCAGGTGGGTGAGGAGGCAGCGCTCTGTTCAGGTGAGCATTGAAAATGTCCTTTGTGCGATCCAGGTGGCCAGTGTAGGGACGCATTAGCCAGGGCAGCAGGGGTAGGCCGCATCCCCCACGACACAGATGGGCATAGGCACATCCCCAACAGTAAACTCCCGCCAGGGGAAGTAAGTGCCTGCCTCCAGCCTGCGAAACAGGCCGGAGTTCTGGAGGATGCGGGAATCGTGTGCCCTGCCGGACCAGCCCGCATAAATGTCCGGGAAGCAGCCACGGTGGTCCATGAAGGCCTGGAGAACAATAGAGAAGTACTCCCTGCCGGACCAGCCCCCGTAGACGTCCAGGAAGCGGCCCCGGTAGTTCACGAGGGCCTGGAGAACAATAGAGCAGTACCCCTTTCAGTTTATAAAATGGGCTGCTCGATGCTCCGGGGCCCGGACGGGGATGTGGGTTGCATCCAGGGCTCCCCCGCAGTTGGGGAACCCAAGGGCAGCAAAGCCGGCCACCGTAGCCTCCACGTCGCGCAGGCAGATGACTCTTGGGAGCAGGACATCATTGATGGCATGGACGACCTGCAGAAGGGTGCAGAGAAACACAGGGGAACACATTCACATAAGACAGGGTGAGTGTGCGCTCCCTTGGGCCGCCCCCCCATGATACCCTCTGTGCTCACGCACACACCAGGGCCCCGCCCCCCCACCAGCAGGCATGTGCAAGGGAGGGATGGCCGAAAGCCCTGGGTGACCCAGCCTGGAGTCTTGGTTGCCCTTGGGCATGGAGTGCAGCACCCTCCCCCCACACCATTCCCCCTGGGACTTACCTCCAACACGACTACACCGACAGTCAATCTGCCCACCCCGAACTGGTATGCCACCGATCGGTAGCTGTCCAGGGTGGCCAGCTTCCAGACTGCGATGGCGACTCTCTTGTTGATGGGGATGGGTGCCTGCAGCCAGGTGGTGGCTCTCTGGAGCCCAGGGGTGAGCCAGGCACATAGCTCCAGGAATGTCTGCTTTCGCATGCAAAAGTTCCAGAGCCATTGCTGGTCGTCCCATTGTCCCAGGACCAGTCGGTCCCACCAGTCCATACAGGTGTCCAGTATCCACAGTGGCCTCTCCACGCATGGCCTCTCTGGTGAGGAAGTCCAGAGTGATCTGCACCTCCGGGTCCTGGAAGAGGAGGGCAGCAGCCTGGAACACCAGCTGCAGGCACTACAAAATGGCCGGAAGGGGCCAGAGCAGGCACATGGCCACCCCTGGCTCCATGGCACAAAAAACCAGCAAGAAGAAAAAAAAAACAGGCAAAGGCACTAAAAGGCAAAAGGCAGTGGTGTCCAAAAAGGCAGAGGGCAACCACAAAAACTGCTACGGCTGTCAGTCCCTGCAAGAGGTCCTATAATACGCAGCAGGAGAGAAAAGGCTGTCCAGCGAGATCCCTTTAAGCACGTGTCTCAAAGGAGCTCCAGCCCCCTCCCCTGGAAAGAGCTGGTGCCCTCTTGCCCTCTTCAAAATGGTTCCAGGCTTCCACTTTTGCGCAAAAGCGTCTCGCCAATGTAGACGCACTTTTGCGCAAAAGCGCATCGTTGTAATGATAACTTCGGGACCAATCTAGATGCGCTTTTGCGCAAATACTTTTAACGGAAAAACTGTTCTGTTATAAGTATTTCCGCAAAATCATGCCCGTCTAGACGCAGCCTATACGAGTAATACAAATTAGAAGTCAAAAGGCCCAGTGACTTCAAAATGCTCAAGGGAATAGTATGTTACTGTTATGGATTTAAACATACCACAATCTAAGATGTCCTGCAAAAGCAGCTCATTGGGGATGGAGAGTTTTCTAAGGTATGCTGAAGCAACTAGTCTCATCAATAAGCACACCCTTACTGTGCCTCCTGATATTTTTTTGAGTGTGAACAGAAGCAGTTTCACGTGTGGATAAAATAATGTGTTGCTCATGTTTCTGCTACAGCAAAAGTGAAGCACCAGGTGGTAGAATTAATGTGAGAGACTGGCTCAGCAATTTCTGTGCTACCTGAATCATTTTTATTTGCAGTACTTTGGATGTGTGGCACTTACCGAAAAGCTTATGCCAACAGTGCTACTTGATTAACTGCAAGCCTGTGCTTGGTTGCTTTGGCGTATCTGACTTTTGATAATACAAGCAGAATTATATATTGTGTGTAGGGATACACCTATCCTACCTAAACATGCAGGTAGTTGATGAATGTATTCTTTCTACTCCATCTGGAACCATTAAGAACCAACTCCAATTCTACACTCATTGAGGATGGTAAGAAGGAGCCTCCATTCTCAGGCAGAGTCGGTATCACAAGAGCTTAAAACTAGTACAGACTAGTATTAGAATTGAATAAATTGAATTATTTGACTGGATCTCACTGACAATAACAAAGATGGTGATGGGAGGTATTTGTCTTTGCACAGACTTAAGAAAATCTAATAAAGCTATTGTGTTTGTCAGTTGTCCATTCCCACCTAGAGAAGAAGTTTGTGGAACTTTGTAGCACAGAGATGTTTTTCTATTCTTGAGTCACACAGTGTTTATCACCAACTTTATGCTACAGTAGGACTGCAGAGATCTGTGTGTTTTGTATGATGGACTATTCCTTTATACAGGTTGGACCTCCCTTGTTCAGCATCCTCTGGGCCTAAGTCATCCCAAATGATGGAGTTTGCCAGACGAGGGGAGGTCAATGCTCCCTGCCCAGCTGTAGGCTCTGCTGCCTGGTGGGGCTGCACTCGTTGCTGCTGCCTCCAGCCCTCCACTGGACATGCCTGGCTGGGGCTGCGTCCCCCCCCCACAACACCAGCTCCAGACGGGGACCAGCCCCACTGCCTCCAGCCCTGACCAGTGCTGCGTCTCCACTCCCACAGTGACACTCTGAGCTGTGCACCCAGGTGCCTCTAGCCCCAGCCAGGGCTGTGCTCCCGATGCCAGTTCTGGCCAGGACTGCGCTCCTGCACCGTGCCAGCCCCAGTTGAGACTGTGTTCCTGGCTACCCGCCTCGCTACCTCCAGCCTTGTCTGGGGCTATGCTCCTTGCCATCAGCCCTGGCCAGGGATGTGCTCTCCACTGCACTGGCTCTGCTGGGGCTGGTCTCCACACGGCCAGCCCAGCCCTGGCTGCGCTTCTGAACCTGGCCAGCCGGGACTCTCTGGTCCAACAGTATTTGTGGTCCTGATGGACCATAGATGTTGCTGTAACAGAGAGTCCCGGATTTTAGAGAGTCAACGTGTGCATATGTATAATAGGGACGTACATCAGCACCTACTGCTTTGCAAAGAATGATTCCAGTCAGCCTGAAGTCAAGTGATATTACTGTTTGGGAGGACCCCTGAGGAACACAAAAAACATCTCCATATATGAAGGTGAATTGCTTGATGGTCAGAAAGACCATCTTGCAGCCTATACTCTGCCATATGTGAGAATTAAGAATGTGACTGCTGCTTGCTTGATCCACCTACCCTTACCTTCTCCTGCCATACAGATTGATGACTAAAAAGTAGTTCCGCTTATTATGGGCACTTTCATAGCTGTTAAACCAGAACAATTTAAATTTGCTTGCTTAGCATGCCTGATTTAACAAAGATTGCAGGAACTGCTGACAATCTGGTCACACAACTGCAAATGCATTTGATTCAGCTGTGTTCTCTTTCTTTATAGCACATGACAAACTTTCTCTACAAGATGGGCACATGACCTGTATGGTTGAGTATCAGATGAACTACAGCCAAAATTCATATACAAGCAACAGTCAGAATGACATCGTGTCTACAGAACCTGTACTGGTGGCCAGGGATGGAGGTGAAATTGAAGCAGCTATACAAAAATGCATTACTTGTGAGTTGTATCATTGCCATCTTGTCCTGTATGTGCTACCAATACAGTCTGTTCCTCTTCCAGATGCAGCACGGGAGGGGGTGGGGGAATAATTTGCCAATAACATCATAGGTCCATTTGACAATATGCCAGGTGACTATAGCTATGCTATCACCCTGAATTCATGTTTTAGTAAGGGCTTGTCTACACAGCAGAGTTATTCTGAAATAACTAGGTGAGCATCTACACAGCAAGCCCAGTATTTTGAAATAATTTTGAAATAGTGGTCATCTTATTCCAAATTCTGTAATCCTCATTCTATGAGGAATAACACCTATTCCAAAATAGTTATTTTATGTGTAGACAGGACAGCAGGAGTTATTTCGAAATAAGGAGCCTCCAGGCAATCCACCAAGTGTCATGCTGGCTACTCTGTCCACACTAATCAGAACTCTATCGCTTCACTTCCCCTGCACCTGTTAAAGGTGCAGGCAGAAGGGAAAGGACTTGTGGCATGAAGCAGGCCCTGCTCGATTGTGCCATGCAGCAGGACTTTGCACAGCCTTCCCTGCTGCCATGGATGAGCCCACTGCTCCAGAAGAGGCCCCCACAGATGCTAGCACTGCCTCAGGAAGCTCCCAGGACCCTGTCCAGGGCTAAAAAAGGCGTGTGCCTCCCTGGTCTGGTGTAGAGATCCTGGACCTCATTGAGGTCTGGGAAGAAAAGGCAAACCTCCAGGATCTCCACACCAGATACAGGAATGAAGACGTCTACAGCTGGATGGCTAATAGCCGGGCCACGTGCACCCAGGAGCAGGTGCGCATGAAGGTAAAAGAACTCAGGCAGGCTTATGTCAAGGCCAGGGAGCGCAGCTCCTGCTCCAGAGTGGCATTGCAGGCCTGCCCATATTATGCGCAACTCCACCACATCTGGGGTGGGTGGGGAGCTCTCTGTTGTGGACTCATGGCTGGAGATGCCTGTCATCACCCTTCTGTGGGGCAGGCAGAGCTAAGGAGGCGGAGGAGCTGGATGAGGCCAGCACCAGCACCATGCCTCCCAGCCAGGACTCCAAGCTTGCCCTGCAGCCAGTACCTCCCTCCCAGGATGTGTCTCAGGCATTGTCCGAAGCCAGGGAAGGCCCCTCAGGTGAGTGTCATTGCCACCTCACCCCATGTGTGTCTAGAGAAAGTAATTCATAGAATCATAGAATCATAGAATAATAGGACTGGAAGGGACCTCGAGAGGTCATCGAGTCCAGCCCCCCGCCCTCAAGGCAGGATCAAGCTCCGTCTACACCATCCCTGACAGATGTCTATCTAACCTGTTCTTAAATATCTCCAGAGAGGGAGATTCCACCACCTCCCTTGGCAATTTATTCCAATATTTGACCACCCTGACAGTTAGGAATTTTTTCCTAATGTCCAATCTAAACCTCCCCTGCTGCACTTTAAGCCCATTACTCCATGTCCTGTCCTCAGAAACCAAGAGGAACAAATTTTCACCTTCCTCCTTGTGACACCCTTTTAGATATTTGAAAACCACTATCATGTCCCCCCTTAATCTTCTTTTTTCCAAACTAAACAAGCCCAGTTCATGAAGCCTGGCTTCATAGGTCATGTTCTCTAGACCTTTAATCATTCTTGTCACTCTTCTCTGTACCCTTTCCAATTTCTCCACATCTTTCTTGAAATGTGGCGCCCAGAACTGGACACAGTACTCCAGCTGAGGCCTAACTAGTGCAGAATAGAGCGGCAGAATGACTTCACGAGTTTTGCTTACAACACACCTGTTGATACAACCTAAAATCATATTTGCTTTTTTTGCAACAGCATCACACTGTTGACTCATATTCAACTTGTGGTCCACTATGACCCCTAGATCCCTTTCCGCCATGCTCCTTCCTAGACAGTCGCTTCCCATCTTGTATGTATGGAACTGATTGTTCCTTCCTAAGTGGAGCACTTTGCATTTCTCTCTATTAAACCTCATCCTGTTTACCTCCGACCATTTCTCTAACTTGCTAAGGTCATTTTGAATTATGTCCCTATCCTCCAAAGAAGTCGCAACCCCACCCAGTTTGGTATCATCTGCAAACTTAATAAGAGTACTCTCTATCCCAATATCTACATCATTGATGAAGATATTGAACAGTACGGGTCCCAAAACAGACCCTTGAGGAACTCCACTTGTTATCCCTTTCCAGCAGGATTTAGAACCGTTAACAACAACTCTCTGACTACGGTTATCCAGCCAATTATGCACCCACCTTATCGTGGCCCTATCTAAGTTATATTTGCCTAGTTTATCAATAAGAATATCATGCGAGACCGTATCAAATGCCTTACTAAAGTCTAGGTATATGACATCCACCGCTTCTCCCTTATCCACAAGGCTCGTTATCTTATCAAAGAAAGCTATCAGATTAGTTTGGCATGACTTGTTCTTCACAAACCCATGCTGGCTATTCCCTATCACTTTATTACCTTCCAAGTGTTTGCATATGATTTCCTTAATTACCTGCTCCATTATCTTCCCTGGGACAGACGTTAAACTGACCGGTCTATAATTTCCTGGGTTGTTCTTATTCCCCTTTTTATAGATGGGCACAATATTTGCCCTTTTCCAGTCTTCTGGAATCTCCCCTGTCTGCCATGATTTTTCAAAGATCATAGCTAAAGGCTCAGATACCTCCTCTATCAGCTCCTTGAGTATCCTGGGATGCATTTCATCAGGACCTGGTGACTTGCTGACATCTAACTTTCCTAAGTGATTTTTAACTTGTTCTTTGTGTATCCTATCTTCTAAACTTACCCTCTCTCTGCTTGTATTCACTACGTTAGGCACACCTCCAGACTTCTCGGTGAAGACCGAAACAAAGAAGTCATTGAGCATCTCCGCCATTTCCAAGTTCCCTGTTACTGCTTCTCCCTCCTCACTAAGCAGTGGGCCTACCCTGTCCTTGGTCTTCCTCTTGCTTTTAATGTATTTATAAAAGGTCTTCTTGTTTCCCTTTATGCCTGTAGCTAGTTTGATCTCATTTTGTGCCTTTGCCTTTCTAATCTTGCCCCTGCATTCCCGTGTTGCTTGCCTATATTCATCCTTTGTTAGTTGTCCTAGTTTCCATTTTTTATATGACTCCTTTTTTATTTTGAGATCATGCAAGATCTCCTTGTTAAGCCAAGCTGGTCTTTTGCCATATTTTCTATCTTTCCTACACAGCGGAATTGTTTGCTTTTGGGCCCTTAACAACGTCCCTTTGAAATACTTCCAACTCTCCTCAGTTGTTTTTCCCTTCAGTCTTGCTTCCCATGGGACCTTACCTACAAGTTCTCTGAGCTTATCAAAATCTGCCTTCCTGAAATCCATAACCTCAATTGTGCTGGTCTCCCTTCTACCTTTCCTTAAGATCATGAACTCTATTATTTCATGATCACTGTCCCCTATACTGTCTTCCACTTTCAAGTTCTCAACTAGTTCCTCCCTATTTGTTAAAACCAAATCCAGAACAGCTTCTCCTCTGGTAGCTTTTTCAACCTTCTGAAACAGAAAGTTGTCTCCAATGCAGTCCAGAAACTTATTGGATAGCCTGTGCCTCGCTGTGTTAGTTTCCCAACATATGTCTGGATAGTTGAAGTCCCCCATCACCACCAAATCTTGGGCTTTGGATAGTTTTGTTAATTGTTTAAAAAAGGCCTCATCCACCTCTTCCACCTGGCTAGGTGGCCTGTAGTAGACTCCTAGCATGATATCACCCTCGTTTTTTACCCCTTTTAGCTTAACCCAGAGACTCTCTACACAGCTATCTCCTACGTTCATCTCCACTTCAGTCCAAGTGTGTACATTTTTAATATACAAGGCAACCCCTCCTCCCTTTTTTCCCTGTCTGTCCTTCCTGACAGAATGTGCTCAGCATGTTTGTCTTAGACCTGCCCACTCTTCCCTGTTGAAGAAACAAAAACATGAACAGGGAAGAACTGTTCATTCTTCTTTTAAAAGACTAGGGGGGCAGTGTCCCCTGCTCTCTCTGCTTCCAAACTCAGCC